AAATAAATAAATAAATAAATAAATAAATAAATAAATAAATAAATAAATAACAAAAAACAAATTAAAAAAATGTCTCATCAACATAAGCAAGGATGTATTTTTTGTTAACAACAAAGGAAGACATGACTTCATTTTTAAGCTACATGTAAAATTCCTAGCACAAAAGCTTTGAATGTAATCACATAAAATTGCTGTAAAAGAACGGAACGGCTTCTATTTTCTGCTTTCACGGTCCAGGCCAGTTGTTTCAAAGGATGGAAATTCCAACAAGGCTTTGTAGACCATTGTACACGCTCACCTGCAGCGGGGAGTGTTGGTGTTTTTGGCAGGTTTCTGAGGCTTCCAGGCCACCGAGCAGCAGGACTTCATTTTCTTTCGGCTGGTGGACAGTCAGTAATTCAAGAAGCTTTGGCAGGTCAGGGGACACTGATGCCAATTTCTGCAAGAAACATGCCAAGCACAGGGTTTAGGGGTACGTGACGATGAAATGCCTTTATACAGTATTTATTCGAAACTCAATAAAATTCTGTAACTCTTGATGTTTCAAACTGTGTGGGATTGTTAAACGCCCACCTTAATTACCCAAGCTGAAAAATAAAACCCCTCAACATCTGCATATCATCTAACAAATACCCCATCTAATTCTGGGTAATGATCTTGAATCCATGGCAACAGGGGTGAGATATTTATGAAATACAATGAAGAGAGTTCCTAGGAGATGGAAAAAGTGGGCAGGAAGGGAAAAGGAACAAGAAAATGAGAGAAGAAATGAGCGTGGATGAAGAACCAGCTCACCTTGATGGCTTTATCATCACGGCAGTCTGTTTTCTGAGGGTCCAGGCTGACAAAACAAATCTGAGAAAGCAAAGATAGAAACGGTGAATGGATTGCACTTAAAGCACCTTTCTAGTCTAGTGTTGCATTACAACACAGTCTGTGCCCTCATTTACCCATCCACACAGCACTGATTTCCTTTCCAAACGACATTTAGTATTTGACCCTAACCAACCTGTCAAAAACTTAAATTACTCAAGCCTACAGCAGGTATCAGAGTAACCAAAGTATATGTGCTGCTGTGTCTATCTCTGCTCCTACACAATGCCTGTCTCTCCTTCTCCCCCTGCTTCTCACACCTTTGCAGCAGCCTGCAGGTTTAACAGTCTTTGATGGAGTCCTCAGTTTGGGGTGTCAGTGCTGGAAGCTGGGGACTCTCTATAACAGCAGCAGCTGCTTGAATTAACAGCACAAAGCCTCTAACGCAGGATTGTAAAAGGCAAGTCAGTCCTGTGTGGCCACATAAATAAGCTCCAGCAGCGCATGGGGTGAGTGTGAATGAATGTGGCTCCAATTTCAGCAGCCACATGTGCACAAGGTACGACAGGCTTTCATGAAAAGAGTTATTTGTGTCTCAGCCAGGAAACACGTTTCTAACATTTCTGAATGGTTGCCTATACCGATCAAATCAAGGGATTCTATGAGTGACAGAGGTGGACTTGTTGTTTCAGATGCAAAAACACACACACGAGGGATCTTGTTGTGCCTATTTAACCTTAGTGTGCCTGTCTCTGCAGTCTTTTCTCCCACTAAAACCTATAAAATTATGTATGAATTCCAATTAATGCTTGACGCATCATAGAGAAAAATGGGTTCACCCTGATGGGGCTTAAAGTAATAATTCAGATTTTCTGAAGAGAGGCTCAGTCTGCAGGATTGATGGCCTAGAAGACTACCTCATGAAAGACAGGGCACTTGATAAGAATGCATGACTCCCAAAGGGTAAATTCTACAGCGAGCGAGCAGAAAGGTGCTGAAGACAAAATGGTAAGTATTAAAAATACAAAAGGTGCTTTTGCATTGTAATGTCTGTCGAGGCTCACCCCGGGTCCAGACGGCTTGGCCTTACTCTACCCCGGTCCTGGTTGTGTTTGCACTGAGCACAGTGCCACCTCGATGTGGGCGGGATCATGATATTAAACACACGCAATTTTATTTTGATGATTAAGATGATGGATGGATTTTTTTTACAGTATGTGGCGGCATTTCTAGATTAAAAAAAATGCACAACAAAATACTAATGCCCCATAATATGCAATATTATTTTGTCCACTCTTAATTCAATTAAATTTTTTCAATTCAAGTGAAATTTCAATTCAATTCAATTCGATTTTTAATTCAATTGATTAATTTCATTAATCGCTTGAATTGAAAATTGAATTGAAT